TGTACATTTCCGTCGTGGCTCAGCTTGGACTGGCCTGGGAATCCTTCTTACTCCCGAGCCTAGTTGGGCGCCACATAGAATCCCTGCGCCATCCTGGTCCCCTGCAGTGCATGTCAGGGCTCAGTGTGGTCTGGCGGCAGGGGCGCGGCTGGGCTCTGGGGCTCCGGGGGCTCCAGGACTCCCAGCTCTTCACGGGAGTCCGTGGCCCCAGCTTCGCCAGGAGCCAGGCCAGGGCAGTGGGTGGCCAGGCTGGGGACCCTGCGGGAAGCCACACGTGGGTCCTGGTGCCCGCGGCTGGCAGGGCGCCTCGTCTGCGCGTTCCCAGGCTCCCTCTGTCCCCCACACCCCGTTCCCAGATGGCTCCAATTAAGGACTTTGTTTTCCTTTCCATTTTCCCAAAATAAGCCTGGCGCTCGAAGCCGTTCTGACCTGGCCCTGCCCAGCTGCTCACCCTGTGGCATCGACCTGGGGCTGTCCCAGCTGGTGCTCCTGGCGTGAGGCTGGGGTGGCAGTGGGGACACTGCACCCCTACCCAGCTGGCGGGAGCTGGCTCTGGGTGGCAACTCTGGGCGACTGCGGTCCAGCACAGCCTGGCTATTTTGTGCATGGCGTTGGGGGTCCTTACCCCTCCGTGGCACACGATGACCTGCTCTGTGAGGATTTCACCTGCGAAGCAGGCAGAAAGGTCTTAGCACGGGGCAGGGTGCACGCCTGCAATCACGGAGGCTGAGGCAGGAGGGTCCGGGCTCTGTAGCGAGACCCTGTCTCAATGGGCAGACCATCTCTGGTAAGCAATGGGGACGATCCATTTCTGAAGGGAACACATCAGTCTGGTCTCTTGGAAGCTTCAGGGAGTCCAGGTTGGGGCCCTGAGTTGAGTCCTCTTCACGGAGTAGATGGCTGTAGGGCTGTTTCCTTTCCCAGTCTTGAGTGCCCTTGGCAGTGGCGGTGTCGGGATTAAGTCGCTTCCTGGGGCCCCTGATTCGCTCCCCTGACCAACAGCGCCTACGGCGTGGCTGCCACGTCTCTGCTGCAGCTCCCGCCTGGTGTGCGAGAGCCCTGACCGCGTGGCCCCAGCCTGGCTCCAATCTGCTGTTTTCGGGGACCCCCGCCTGCACCCCGGGCGAGGCCTGCCCTTGGCAGTGGCGGTGTCGGGATTAAGTCGCTTCCTGGGGCCCCTGATTCGCTCCCCTGACCAACAGCGCCTACGGCGTGGCTGCCACGTCTCTGCTGCAGCTCCCGCCTGGTGTGCGAGAGCCCTGACCGCGTGGCCCCAGCCTGGCTCCAATCTGCTGTTTTCGGGGACCCCCGCCTGCACCCCGGGCGAGGCCCGAGGCCCGCAGCACATCTGGCCGACCCCGGGCCACCCCGGGGTCATGGCTCCGCTGGCGACACCGGCTTCCTCTGAAGGAGACAGAGCTGGTGCCAAGTTGAGCTAGCTGAGCCCGGACTGTGGAAAACATCTTAAAACAGAACATGTCAGGGCGGTTGCTTTTTAAAAAATTGTGTAAAAAATGTGTTTTCTCCTGTTTTTAAATTAGAACAAGCTTTATGAAAGAAAACTGGGAAAATATAGAAAAACAGAAAGGGGCGGAAAAGAATCACCCCAGGTCCTGAGGACAAACACACGTAGGGGCTGGGTGTCTGTCCCTGGGGCCTCTGAATTGAAATGTTGATCTCTCTGCAGTGCTGGGGCCGGAACCTAGGGTTACGGGTGCCAGGCAGGCGCTGTGCTGGGCCCTGTCTCCGGCTTTGCTATTTTTATTTTGAGACGGGGTCTGGCCAAGTGGCCCAGACCAGCCTTGAACTTGTGATCCTTCTGTCTCAGCCTCTGAGCAGCTGGGATCACAGACGTGGGCCTCGGCTCCCTGCTTGGCCTCTCTCTTGGGGTGATGTAAATAGAAAACTGAGGGCCACACGTACGGCCTTGAGTCCTTTTTCTTTTATGCAGCGTTTTGCCCTCAGCTTTCCCCACACAATACGAACTTTTTATCGACCGCTGTGGAAATCAAGGTCCTGTAGTGTCCCAGATGCCCCCTCTGAATAAAATGGCCTGATGACAGTTTCCTGCGCGTGTCCCCTTCTGTGACTTCCCAGAGCCGGTTCCTTTGTCAGAGCCCAGGAACACCCTTGCCGCTGTTCATCCGTGTCCCCAAACCGCCTCCCCAAGGCGCCGGTGCATTTGTCTCCCCACGTGTTTCCTTTACTGTGGTGAAGCGCACCCAGCGTTTCCCGTCCTAACCACTCGTAAGCGTCCAGTTCGGGGCATTAAGCAACTGCTGTTGTGCAACTGTGACCAGCGTGCCACCGTGGGGCTCTTTTCCTGTGTAAGACAGAGACTCTGTCCCCGTTAGACGCTGCCTCGCTGTGCCTCTCCCCACCCCACACCCCTGTGCCACTTTCTGTCTCTGTGCCTTTGGCTACCTAGGGCCTCCTGTGAGTGGAACCTGCAGGATTTCTTTCCGTGACCGGTTCTTTCACTTAACGTAATATCCCCTGAGTTCACCGCGTGTTCGGTTCTGGGGTCAGAATTGCCGCCTCTTTGAGGCTGAATACTATTCCACTGTGCACAGACCACTTGCTCCCTCTTTTCTTCCACTGATGAACGCGTGGGTTCCTTCTCCCTCGGGGCTACTACGAACAGTGCCAACGTGAACAGAGATCTGCAAATGTCCCTTCCAGGCGCTCCTTTCAGTTTCTGAGGGGGCTGGGTCATGCGGCAGTTCTGACTTTAGTTTTTGTTTTTTTTTTGAGTTACCGCCAGGTTGTTTCCGTTTAGCATTTTCATCACAGGACATAAGGTATTTCTCTCTAGGTCCTTCACCGCCCCTTGTTATTGTCTGGTTTTGGCTTGGTTTAGTTTGGGTGTGGGTTGTTTTAGACAGGGTCTCACTGGGTAGGCCTTGAACTCACTAGGTAGCCCAGGCTGTCTTCGAACTCACTGCAACCCTCCTGCCTCAGCCTTCCAGCTGCTGGGATTACAGACATGCAGCACCACACCCGGCTTTCTGGCCTCTTGCTGGTCCTGTTTGTTTTACGCCTCTCCACTCTGCAGTTCCGGGCTGGGGTGAGCCTTGGTGGTGAGCAGTTGCTGGCTTTGATCCTGGCTCCGCAAGAAAAGAAAAAGGCAAAACCACAGTCCATTGTTTTTCCCGCATTCACCGGGCTGGGTGTCCGACCCGGGCACATTGCAGGGCGTTTCTGACCCCCACAAGAAGCCCTGTGCCCTTTCCTCGCCGCCCCCCCCAACCCCTGCCCGTGACCCCGATGCACTTCCAGTCTTGAGGGTAAGGGGGCGCTGTGGGGGCGCTGTGCGAAGGGGTCGGGGGAGGCGTGGCCTCGTGTCCGCGTGTCCTCACCGCCCCCCATCATCCCTCCTCTGCCTTTCCGCCGGCGAGATCCTGGGTGGGTGGGCGGACGTTTTCACTTCTCACCGCGGAGCAGGGAGGAGGAGCAGGCGTTCCAGTCATCGGGGCTGGGTCTCAGTTGTACTTGCGTCAGGGGCACTGGGGAGGGACCCACGGCCTTCACCTGAGCTGCAGACCCAGCCTTTAAAGAAAAATTTTTTTAAGGCAGAGTTGTGCTAAGTCCCTTAAGTTCCCCAGGCTGAGTTCAACTTGCGGACCTTTGGCTTTAGCTCCCAGAGTGCACCGCCGTTTAACTTGTTTTTCTTTTTTCTGTGTTTGTTGTTTGTTTTTGTTTTGAGATAGGGTCTCACTGTGTAGAGACTGACCTGGAACTCACTATGTAGCCCAGGCTGGTCTCGAACTCACAGCGATCCTCCTGCCTCAGCCTCCTGAGTGCTGGGGTTACAGGTGTGCGCCACCACATCTGGCTCGTTTTTTGTTTTTTTTTTTTAATTCATCCATATTTGCAGTTCATAAGGGTTATGTTCCTTGTGGGGAGCCCGTGCGAGTACAGAACATGTTTTAATTCTTTGTCACCCCCTTGCCCTCCTCTCCAACCCTCCTCGCTCCATCTCTTGGTCCCCTTCCTCTTAGAGGAAGATCTCTGCATTTCCTATTATCCGTCTTTTATTTTGCTCTTTGTGCTTTGGATTTGTTATATGGCAGATGCCATGTGATATTTAAGCTTGTGTGTCTGACTTATTTCACTAAACCCTATGGTCTCCAGGCGCATCTGTTTTCTTGCAGATGTCTCAAGTTTATCCTTCTTTGTGGCAGCATAGTACTCCTCTGTGAGTAGAGACCGCATCTTCTTTTTCCGTTCATCTGTTGATGGACCCAGAGGCTGTTTCCAAGATTTAGCGAGAATCAGTTGTGCTGCTCTAACCAGGGGTTGTTGGACATTTTGGGGAACTCCTACACTGTTTTTGCAAAGCAGCGGTTTCCATTGCCCCTAGCGTTGTGTAAGGGCTGAGTTCCCCCCCATGAGCCCCAGGCGCCATCCGTCCTTAGCCTTTCGGCCCAGGAGGGGCCCTGTGCATTTGCCTGGGGGGCAGTGATGTTGGACACGCCTTCCAGGGCTCGCTGGCCGTCCTTCTGTCTTAGGGAACCGTCTGTCTGAGACACTTTCCTCCTTTCAAAGTTGGAGTGTTTGTCTTTTTCTTGTCACGTTGTAAGACCTCATTACACATTCCAGGTACAAGTCCAAGGTCAGATAAGGGGCAAGCGAATGCCTTCTCCCCTCCTGTAGACACCTTTACTGATTCTCAGTGGTGTCCTGTGAAAGACAAAATTTGGTTTTAGCCAGGTGTAGGGTGGCGCACACCTGTCATCCCAACACTCAGGAGGCCGAGGCAGGAGAACCGCTTTGAGTTTGAGGCCAGCCTGGTCTCCATGGTGAGTTCAAGGCCAGCCTGGACTACACAGTGAGACCCTGCCTCCAAAACAGGGCTGGGGATTTAGCTCGGTGGTTCTGCTGCCTGCCTGGCAAATGCAAGGTCCCGAGTTCAATTCCCAGTACCAAAACAAACAAACAGAAACAACTTCCAAGGGGGCTGCCTGTTGGTGGCCGAGGTGTGGACCTGTGAAATGGGTATGCATCTCCCCGCTGCAGGGAAGGCTTACGAGATCAGCTACGTGAGGCTGAAGTTCCACACGAGCCGCCCCGAGAGCTTCGCCATATACAAGCGCAGCCACGGGGGTGGCCCCTGGCAGCCCTACCAGTACTACAGCGCCTCCTGCCAGAAGACCTACGGCCGGCCCGAGGGCCACTACCTGCGGCCAGGCGAGGACGAGCGGGTGGCCTTCTGCACTTCCGAGTTCAGTGACATCTCCCCGCTGAGCGGGGGCAACGTGGCCTTCTCCACCCTGGAGGGCCGGCCCGGTGCCTACAACTTCGAGGAGAGCCCGGGGCTGCAGGTAGAGAGCCGCAGACAGAGGGCTGGCGAGGGCGCTGCTGCGGGCGGGGGCCGGGGACCTGTGAGCCTGCGGGGCTTCACGCCGATGTCCTGACTGCCTCGGTCTCCCCTGGATGCCTGGTAAACAGATGGCGAGGCGGGCGTGGTGGTGCCCACCTCAGTCCCAGCACTCGGGAGGCTGAGGCAGGAGGATCGCTGTGAGTTTCAGACCAGCCTGGGCTGTGCAGTGAGTTCAAGTCCAGCCTGAGCTGCATAGTGAGACCCTGTCTCACTGCGCACCCCCAAAAGTTCTGAGTGGAGCTTCAAGGCAGAGCAGGCAGCACAGGGCGGGAGGGGCAAGAAAAGGGGAAGAAAGAAACGGGCGAGGGCCTCATGTGGCATGGAGGGCACAGCCCGGCCTCTCCCCTGTACAGATAGGGACTCGAGAGGACGGAGGCCTCTGCAGAGGTGGCCCAGAGGGGACAGAGTCTGGAGCTTTCCGCGGCACCCTCACTGCCTCCCCCGTGGCCACAGGTGCTTCAAATGTCCGTTCCATTTCTTTTACTTTTTACTTTTTAATTTTTTTATGGTACTAGGGATGGAACCGAGGACCTTTGCACTGAGCTGCATCCACAGCCCTTTTTATTTTTATTTATTTATTTGTTTGTTTGTTTGTTTTTTGAGACAGAGTCTCACTGTGTAGTTGAGACTGACCTGGAACTCGCTATGTAGCCCAGGCTGGTCTCAGACCCACAGCGATCCTCCTGCCTCAGCCTCCCCAGTGCTGGGATGACAGGCGTGCGCCACCACGCCCCGCTTATTTTTTATTTTGAGACAGAGGCTCACGAAGTCACTGAAGTGCCTGGGCTGAGCTCAAACTTGTGATCTTCCTGCCTCAGCCTCCAGGAGTGCTGGCCTGACCGGCCTGGGCCACCTCGCCCAGCTCTTTTTATTGGATTTTAATGAATCTTAAAGCCGGTGGCTGTGTGTAGCCAGCCAGCAGGTGTCCCTGAGCCGAGGTGAGGCACACGGGGCCCAGGGCGGCGGGGTGATAAAGGGGCCCCCACGAAGCTGAGCGCCCACGGCGGCTTCCGGGTCCCTCGGCCCAGCCCACATGGTTGCACTCAGGTTGGTGCCTCTGAGGGACTGGCACCTCGTGCGCCCAGCTGGATGCTGTGGCGTAGGGATGGCCATGGGCCGAGTCCGAAGCCGCCTCCTGCCTCTCTGGAGTAATGGGGGGCTGCTTGTCTCCAGGGGACAGGAGGGGACCAGGCCCAGGGCTCCCGCTGTCTCTTCCGGGCAGGCCCTGCACAGAGCACTTCCTGCTGCAACACTGTGGGTGACTCAGTCCCCGGCCCTGCTGTCCAGGGATCTTCCTGACGGTGGTCGCGTGCACTCGGCTGGCCGCCTGTCACCCCCAGGTCAGCTGCACACAGTGCGGCCCAAAGGGGACCCTGGCATTAGGATGCTCCAGGCCCTGAGGCCACAGCAGGCAGCGGCCGGAGCTCCCTGTCCCACACAGAGCCACCTCCCCAGGGCCAGGCCCTACCCGTGCTGTGGACAGTGTCCCCGTGTCTCAGCCTGGTTTTAAGTCCTTTTTCTTCTCTGTGGGGCCTCTGTGGATTAGGAAACGTCGCCCGAGGTGACACGAGGCCCCTCCGCCCGTGTCCCCTCTTCTGTCACGGGAGCAGCTGCACTGCAGGCTGCTGGCGGCAGATTTTCTGACTCATTGCCTCCGTGTCCCGGCCGTGGTCCCTGGTGGAAAATGACCTTTCCAGAGATATCCCCCTGCTGCTTTCAGCAGGGGCCTTGCCCTGCCCCTGTCCTGCCCCCAGACAGCCTCGGGGCAGGATCGAGGAGGACACGTCCAAGCAGCCAGGCCCTGTGTCCCCGAGGAGGGGCCGAGGGCACCAGGCTAATGTCCCTGGACCAAAAGCCAGCCTGGAACCAAAGCCACCTGCCCCTGCTGCTTCCTGTAGTCACATCGTTTTTGCAGTACAGGGGCTCGAACCCTGGGCCCTGCACGTGCGTAGCAAGTATTCCTCTCCAGAGAGGTGCCCCAGCCCACCACCTCCTCAGCGCCTCACTCTGGAAACCGGGTCCAGCCAAGGTCAACTCCAGACCCACTCCAGTTTTAGCCAGAGCCATTACAACTGCAAAAGCTGCTGCTCCAGGTGGCACATGCCTGCAGTCCCAGCACTTGGCAGGAGGATCACGGAGCGTTCAAGGCCAGCCTGGGCTTTGTAGTGAGGTCAAAGCCAGCCTGAACTACACAGCATGACAAAGCCAAAAAGCTGCTGGGGCCTTGCCTGGCTACAGCAGCGCCCCAGCCTTCCGGGCACTGAGGAGCCCCTGCCACCTGAGCTAAGGAGCAAGCGCTCCCTCTCAGCCTCCGTCCTGCACCTGCCGTGGTCCTGATTGCTAAACCAGCGGCCCCTGGGCTGAATTAAAATGCTGATTAATATTCCGCCTGATTGTAACAGCAGGCAGACGGAAATGTCAGCCTTCACGTGGGTCCCCCACTTCCGCACCACGCTCTGCCACGGGAAGTTGCTCAGACAGTAGCAAGTGTTTGCCTAGTGCCAGCTGTGTGCCAGGCGGGGCCCAGGCCCAGGGACACGGCGAGGACAGGGGACCCGTGTCTCGCTCCTGTGAGGTTCCACTCGGTGGGAGAGGTGTCACCCAGCGGTAGGGACCTCCGCGGGGACGAGCTGGGAGTCCTGCAGCCCCGTCCTGGGCCCGGGGACAGGGCAGGGGCTCTGGGCCAGCAGCTGTCGCCCGTCCTCCAGATGGGGCGTGGGAGTGGCCAGGGAAGGTAGGGAGCCGAGCCCCCGCCAGCCCCAGCTCTGCTGCTGCCGGTGCAGGTGCCAGCTCTCACCCACAGCCACACGGGCACCCTCCTCCCACAGCCTCGTGGGTGGCACTGCCCTGTCCCCTTCCACAGATGGCCCAGGCTCCTCGCTCTGCCCCAGCCCTGGAGTTGGTCCCAGCCTGGCCAGCCCTGTGGGGCAGCTGACGGGGTCGCCCTTGCCCCCAGGACTGGGTCACCAGCACCGAGCTGCTGGTCTCTCTAGACCGGCTCAACACGTTCGGGGACGACATCTTTGGGGACCCCAGGGTGCTGCAGTCCTACTACTACGCCGTGTCCGACTTCTCCGTGGGCGGCAGGTAGGTGGGCGTGGTAGGGGCCGGTGCAGTGTCAGGACCACTGTGGCCGCTGTGAGGTGGGGGCTCCTCGGTGAGCAGGGGACAGGAGGGACAGCTGGCCCACCGGAGGCGTCGCACCAGCTCCAGCGTGCTGAGCCCATTGGCTGCGTCTGCCCCGTGAGCCCCGCCTTGTACCCGCGGTTCCCCGGACTGGGTCCCCGCCCCACTTCTCTGGTGGCACACGGGACCACCCAGCCCCAGACGGGAGCCCCGCTCAGGGCCTCTCAGCAGCTGGTAGGAGCCTCGTGTGGCCGGTCTGTTTCCTGCACCTGCTCGTGCCAGGAAGCAGGGCCCGCGGGGCAGCGTCCACTCTTGTCCCCACGTCACGTCACGTCACCGCCTCCCAGGGCAGCCCAGACTGGAGGGAGGCGGGACGGCGTCTTCCGCACGTGCCTATCTGGAAGGGGACAGAGAGAGACTGTGTGTTCCTGGCCGGCCTCCTGGTGTGGCAGACAGGAGCCAGCCGTGTCTGGGAACATGTCGGCGCGCCCTGGATCCCAAGGACAGGGTGCAGAGGACAGAGAGCGGCCTCGCACTGGGCCTGGGCGCAGGACGGCAGAGCGGAGGGCAGGCTGGGCTGGAAGAGGTCAGGGCTGCGGGCTGCACGCTCCTGCCCCATGGCCCGTGGGAGGCTGTCATGGGCGCTGCCAGGGCCTGACGGGGTCAGGTGCTGGGAGACCAGGGGTGGAGGACGGCCCAGTTCCCTACCGCAGTCCGGCGGGAACCAGGCAGCTTGGCCAGGCAGGCCGAGGCCAGCCGGGAGAGAGGGCCCGGGAGCCACATGGGACGGGACAGCAGCTCCACGTGTCCCGATGAGCTGAGGAAGTGGACAGTGAGGACGGTGGCTCACGCTGGGGACCACGCTCAGACACCTGACGCGCCAGAGGGCCGGAGGGCTGTGGCCAGAGCCTGCATTGCAGGGTGTCTACGAGCTCCAGGGAAGTCTGGGCCGGGAGGCGACGGACCCTCTGCTCCCCAGCCCGTGGTCAGGTCAGACCTCCCTGGATGCCGCGAGTCCTCCCAGCAGAGAACATCTGGGCCGCAGCTGTGGACGGGACCACCCTCTGACTGCAGCTGGCTGGGCGGAGAAGGCACAGGTGGCCCTGCAGCCGGAGGGCCAGCAGGCGCCCTCCTCTGCTCAGACGGTTTGGGGGCAGAGTCCGTGACACCCTGCCGGGGACAGGCCGGGCCCTCGTCACCTTCCCGGTCTGTCTCCCAGGATGACTGGTGGCATTGCCTGCCCTCCCTGGGCCTCTCCCACACCCCGTGTGCCCAAGTCAGGGAGGCTCGGGGACCTGCGGGCTCAGCAGCTGCTTGGCGCTGTGGCACCGAGCGGTGGGAGCAGGGAGCCGGGCGGTGACCGGAGCTCTGCCCCTTAGCGCCTGTCACCTCTCAGGCCCGAGCCGCGGCTTGCTCACCTGTGACTCGGGACAGAATGGTCCCTGCCACCTCCACACGAGGCTCCAGGGAGGACCCCAGCTTCCGGCTGGGTGGGACGTGTCCAAGCTGCCCTCTTCGGCCTTCTCAGGCACAGCTGGGGGGCGCTGCCTGGGCCTGGCACCCTGCCACCCCGGCTGCGGACCAAATGGCTCCTCCGGGGCCCCTCGCAGCCCCTCGCTGGGCCTCAGTCTCCCATCC